AGATTGTTGTAGGAAAATCGGAATAACAAACAATTCGGAAACCAATCTCGAAGCTAAATAGAGAATGTCAGTATGCCCTAAAAGAAAAAAAAACGTATAAAGATTCATGAATTTAGTATGTCATAAGACAACGATTTTAGTGTATCCAGTGAAGATTGACCAAACTACACATTCAAATTAATCTGTAGGACGTATTTGCTAACATCCGTACCTAATGTGACACAAGGTCATAATATCGGTACATCTGCTAGGTCATTTTACTAAAACCAACATTGTGTTAAGCGCCCTAACCAGAATTAAATAATTTTGGCTGGGTTAAACCACAGAGCGTTTACTTTACGCTCTTTATTTCAATCATCTATGATTTTTTCTCCATTTCACCCTCACGTAATTGAATCAAAATTTCATTCAAAGGCAGGAGATTTGCTTCGCCTCCCTTGATAGTCACCCATAATTTAAAATTATCGAAGAATTTTACATCGAAAAATGAAAGTAATTACCGTCAAGTGAAAGACAATGTGAACGAAACCCAATTTTTCGCCAAAACGCCCGCCAGATTCGGCAACTTGCCAGTAAAAAAAAAAAAAAAAAAATGGCAAGTTTATTAAAAGAACAGCCGTTACTTGCCCTCGTCTTGATTCTGCAGCCGATTAAGTATTTACCGAAAGACGGCGATACTGTCTTGGGGCAGATAAACAAACGACATCTTGGGTCATATATTTGCATATAATCACAAAGTCGGTTGTTTGCGATTTGCTGTCACATTCTGATATGCAAATTGAGGACGATATGAAATGGTGCCAGTAACTTAATTAGCCAAGGAAGATTTACCCTGGAGGTAGTAATGGTTTGCGAGTTGAGATTGTTTCATATCGCTTCATAAAGTGGGACAAAACTTTATTTAAGACAGTATTTCTCATGATTTATTTTTTCGCCAAAACATCTCACTCCGTGGAAGGCAACCTGTTATGGTCGTGGCCATGTATGATATTGGTAATTAAACAAGTTGGAAGAAAAAGTATTAAACATTAATTGGGTATGACAGCTCAAAGCGACACTCTAATCTATCTCAGATCACTCTCGACATAAACGTTTCGGCCTGGGATGAGTGTGCGCTGGGAGCTGTGATTTACAACCGTAATTATTTAAGCCGGAAAGCTCCATAAAAGAGGAACATTCTCGTTAGCAGTAGAAAGCATAGGTTAGCACTACGAGAATGAACCCTATCTAACATCTTTGCTTAATTTAACTGGTTCATGTCTAGGTTTAATCGTTATCTTTCCAACATATCCGCATGAGCTAAGCCTATGATTCTGTAAGCCTCTACATCGAGTGGCTCCCGGGCCTTGTAGAGGGCAAACCTAATTTTGACAGAAAAATAAGAGAACGTGGTTATATTATAAGATAGTTTGTGTGCTTAACATATTTTGGCAGAAAGCTATAGTTATAGTAATGGCAATATTATCTGTTTCCTTATAAGGAAACATTCGACATTCATTAACCGAGTAGCTACTAGAATTACGTTTTTCTTCGTACCTGGCCATCGGGCTGGGATCAAAGTGTACTAGTATCTGTTCTCCCCATCTCTAATATTAATATTAACTGTTTATTTATAAGGAAATATTTAACATACATTATCCATTTAGCCAGTGCTACTCGAGTTACGCTTTTCTTCATTCCCTGATAATCAGGTTGAGATCAAAGTGTAGTATCTGTTCTCCTCATTTCTAATAATAATGGTAATATTAACCGTTTATTTTTAAGGAAACTTTTGGTATACATTGTCTAAGTAGCCACTGTTACTCAAGTTACGCTTTTCTTCATTCTCTGACAATCAGGCTGGGATCAATATCTATTATCTGTTATTCTCCTCGTTAATTGCAATGGTAATATTAGCCTTTTATTTATAACGAAACTTTCGTCATTCATTAACCGTACTGTCAATGCTATTTCCGGCTTATAAAATCTTTCTATTAAAACAATTCTTCCGGAAAGTATATTTCCCAAGCGCTCTAAATGTAACCTCTCTTTCCAGTATCGATGGGAGATTTCTTCCTTACTGCCGCTGAAACTCCTCAGGTGAGGTGGAGTCCCTTACGTGTGACAGGTTTTTGTTGTTACGTAGCGCCAGTCCATCAGATTCGAAGAAGGATCATCCTCTCTAAGATCTATATCCTTCCAATGCCCGAAGCCATTTTAACCATTGATAGAAGTTAAATGTTTCCGAACGATTTTGAAGCCATGCATGACCTCCGTATGAAAGTCTCGTTTTGACGAAGCTCTTCAAGCACCTGGAGTGTCCAGTGAGAATAAAATAATTATGAGAAAAAAACTCATTAGCTAAGGTAGTGAGACCTACCTTCTCACCTTCGAGCCGTTTTGCGCTGCCCCTTGAAAAGCACATGATCGGTTTTTAGATATCGATTATATGATGAGAGCTGTGGATGGATGAAGAAAAGGTGGCGGGATCGAAAAACGATAGATAATGAAAAACGTCTTAAAAAAAAAACATTCTGTTTTATTCATTATATTTTGGCGATAATAATGGTTTGCAAGTCTTACTAATTTCTTCTTTTAATTTCTTCTGTTTAATCAGTAGATTGATTGATTGATTCGTTTTCTACGGTTTATCAACCCTTTGCAGGTTATTTAAAGCCAGAAAATATTTTTAGATTCTAAGAATATATTTTAAGATAATAATGGTTTACAAGTCTTACTAATTTCTTCTTTTAATTTCTTCTGCTTAATCAGTAGATTGATTGATTGATTCGTTTTCTACGGCTTATCAACCCTTTGCAGGTTATTTAAAGCCAGAAAATATTTTTAGATTCTAAGAATATATTTTGGCGATAATAATAGTTTACAAGTCTTACTAATTTCTTCTTTTAATTTCTTCTGCTTAATCAGTAGATTGATTGATTGATTCGTTTTCTACGGTTTATCAACCCTTTGCAGGTTATTTAAAGCCAGAAAATATTTTTAGATTCTAAGAATATATTTTGGCGATAATAATGGTTTACAAGTCTTACTAATTTCTTCTTTTAATTTCTTCTGCTTAATCAGTAGATTGATTGATTGATTCGTTTTCTACGGTTTATCAACCCTTTGCAGGTTATTTAAAGCCAGAAAATATTTTTAGATTCTAAGAATATATTTTGGCGATAATAATGGTTTGCAAGTCTTACTAATTTCTTCTTTAATTTCTTCTGCTTAATCAGTAGATTGATTGATTGATTCGTTTTCTACGGCTTATCAACCCTTTGCAGGTTATTTAAAGCCAGAAAATATTTTTAGATTCTAAGAATATATTTTGGTGATAATAATGGTTTACAAGTCTTACTAATTTCTTCTTTTAATTTCTTCTGCTTAATCAGTAGATTGATTCGTTTTCTACGGCTTATCAACCCTTTGCAGGTTATTTAAAGCCAGAAAGTATTTTTAGATTGTAAGAATATATTTTGGTGATAATAATGGTTTACAAGTCTTACTAATTTCTTCTTTTAATTTCTTCTGCTTAATCAGTAGATTGATTGATGATTCGTTTTCTACGGTTTTCTAATTTAAGTAACAATGGCTTCTTAGACAATGTATGCCAAAAGTTTCCTTAAAAATAAACGGTTAATATTACCATTATTATTAGAAATGAGGAGAACAGATACTACACTTTGATCTCAACCTGATTACAGAGAATGAAGAAAAGCGTAACTCGAGTAGCACTGGCTAATTGAATAATGTATGTTAAATATTTCCTCATAAATAAACAGTTAATATTAATATTAGAGATGGGAGAAGAGATACTAGTACACTTTGATCCCAGCCCGATGGCCAGGGAACGAAGAAAAACGTAACTCTAGTAGCTACTCGGTTAATGAATGTCGAATGTTTCCTTATAAGGAAACAGATAATATTGCCATTACTATAACTATAGCTTTCTGCCAAAATATGTTAAGCACACAAACGATCTTATAATATAACCACCTTCTCTTAGTTTTCTGTCAAAATTAGGTTTTCCTTCTACAAGTCTCGGGAGCCACTCGATGTAGAGGCTTACAGAATCATAGGCTTAGCTCATGCGGATATGTTGGAAAGATAACGATTAAACCTAGACATGAACCGGTTAAATTGTAGTGATCGGGAAAACATCCTCTTTGGGGGTCGGTTCCACAGAGCAGTGGTTCCAGGGTAGAATCTGCTGGAGTGGAACTTACTTGTCGCCAATGCAATACGGAGGGAATGAGGAGGGTTCTCTACAATGTGCTTACGGTGACGGGTCTTAGCCGTGAAGATCTAGAACTGGCGGAACTAAAGAATGGTGATGCTTCTTCTCGGCGGTTTTCTTTAAACTGCGCGGTGGAATTATCCTAAGGGAATAAGAAATCCTAACAAGATATACCATCGGTGAATACTGTTCTAACACATTAAGATGCGCCGATGTCGTTGCACTCATGGTATACGCAGAAAGAAAATGCTAGTAACTTCTACGCAAGAGAGTAAAGTGCGATGAAAGTGCTCACCATCATTTTTAAGAAAACAAAATTCATGGTCGTTAGCTAAAAAAAAAAATCGAAGACGTGAGCCACGAATTAGAAACGTTATAATCAAGCAAGTCTTTTTCTATGCGACCTGTCCTTTCAAGACCTGGGTGGTCATGGCACTCCACAACCTCCTAACCTTTGCAACTTTTAGAAATATTTTCCTTTGTACTATACATCCCACCGCATGTTTTGTCATCGATTTGCACAAGTTCGTTAGGTAGGTTACTCCCCGTTTTTTTTTTTTCAATCCCTCTTGCCTTCATTGTGTCCTGTGGGTGTCAAATTCTCCAGGTATTCGTTCTAGTTTTGTCCGCAACGTACAAGCTCCCTTTTTGTTTACATTTTTCATTTTCCATAAAACTTCCTCGTTGCTCACAACATTCTGTAGAACCACATCTCTGTTGACTCAAAGTCACCTTTTTATCTGTGAGGAGATTGTCCAGCATTCTCTGCTATATTACGGGA